GAGTATAAAAGTTTGTTAGGAAACTGGTGCAGCAACACTTTTTAAACAGGAAGCACATCTAAATACATCTATACTGAATAAATTATCTTCTTTGTGGGTTCAGATCGTTGGTCTTTGTACAGGTAACATCAAACTAGTTATCGTGTAAAATTAGCAATGCTCATCATGCCATATATTTGAAGTTTAATTAGAAATATGAATAAACTTTTATATAGGTATGCTAAAAGGAAATTGGATGAGTTTGTATTCCTAGGGAACAGGATTCAGGTCTCATATGCACCTCAATATGAGAGCCTCTCTGATACAAAGGAGAAATTGGAAGTCAGGAGAAGGGAAGTTCTAACACGACCTAAGTGTAAGTTATTGACATGTACTCCATCCTAAATCTCAATAATTGACGTGTTAGAATTTAGAAAAGTGCACCTATATTTGGAGGAACCTTACAAAATTGCTCTTCTGTCCATATTTAAGTTTAACATTAGTTGTGTTTTGATGATCTGTTCCCTTTTAAGGTACAAAAGCATGTAATAAAGAAAGAGTTAATATGTCCAAATTTGGAAGAGTAATAAAAAAATATTCATTGAATTTCTAAATTTGGACACAGAATGTCTATTTTGTTTTGCTTAAACGAAAAATATTTTGGGATGGAGAGAATATTTTTATTTGCGTTTGGTATTTCCCCCTTCCAAAATAATTTATTTGCTACTAATGATATTTCAGCTCAAAGGTGCATAAGTCCTGCAATCCGCAGGCTAGATGGTGTGAGCACATCGATAATATCTTCAACTTCCTCACATATACACTGCACCTCTAAAACATTGGGTATTAATCAAAGGTAATTTTAAAAAAGGGCGTGGAGCCGTGGAGTGGTTTTAAAAAAAAATTCTACTTGCTAATGCATTACCCCATATTTCCTGTAGTCAGTTCATGAAGTCACAAGAGACCAACTATAACAGAGATGCTTCTATGAGTATTTGTGCAGTATCTACTGAAAAGGTTAGATCATAAAATGGAATTCATTGCACTAGTTTTCTAAGAGAATATTATTTTGTTTCAGAGCATTTTTCCCTTTTAGAGAAGAAACTAAAGTATGGATGTTGAGAAGTATTGTTTGTAGAAAATAATTTTTATCTCTATCTGTTCACAGGAATATTTTCCATCACAATCTATGAACCAAACCGTTCAATTCGTTAGGGATAAACTAAGCAAGGTAATAAGAATTTTACATAGGCTTGCTTGCAAGTGTCAAAGGGACATAATATGACCATTAACTTTCCATATCCTTTAGATAAAATCCAGTGCAGAAGAATCAGAAGCTGGAACATCCAAGAAAGCTCGAGTAGACAACAGAAGGAGAATTTGACAGTTATGGGCAAGTTAAGAGAATATTTTCTTGCTTTCCACAAGGTTTCTTTTGCCTCACCTACTGATACCCAGGATTTGCTTTGCCTGCTAAGTTTACATTCAAGGTGCTATTAGTGCTCCAAGTTATTGGCAATTTGGAATTAGTGCTCAAGATTCCTTTTGCTTTAGTCATGCCTTTGTGATTTATGTGATGTGCACGTAAGTTACAAATTGCACAAGGCTTTGTTTTCAATCCCGATATGATCAGTTCATTATTTCACTTGTTGAACGGGAATTTCACCATTGTTCATGTGGTAATCAATTTTTTATAAACTCTATTTAGATCCTATTCGCGAATCAGCTGACCTCATAATGAGTTAAAAATAGTTGAGATAAGGGTCAGATAGAGTCTCGAACTTGAAAAAAAATGTCAAATAAGGCCATATTTAGGATGCTCTGTCCGGCCGACGCCATTTGGGGTGGTTCCCGGTAGAATTTTTTGATGAATTTTTTTGAGAATCTTATTCATTAAGTCTAGTTTACTCATATCAAATTTGAACTAAAACTTTAATCGGGAAGACATTCAAATGAATTCTTGAAGATAACTGTACTGTTAAAAGCGCAGTTATCTTCATGAATTCATTTGAATGCCTTCCCGATTGAATTGTTAGTTCAAATTTGATATGAGTAAACTAGACTTAATGAATAAGATTCTCAAAAAAATTCATCAAAAAATTCCACCGGGAACCACCCCAAATGGCGTCGGCCGGACAGAGCATCCTAAATATGACCTTATTTGACATTTTTTTTCAAGTTCGAGGTCCTATCTGACCCTTATCCCAAAATAGTTCACATGCCAATATTCCATAATAACGTCTCACAATATGTGATTTTGGGGTGTTCGGAATTGATTCTGCTTCTGCTTCTTTTTTATAAGCAGAATTAGAATCAGTTTTTCAGAAGTTGTTGGTCTCCCTCATTTTCTAAAAAAAATCTGCTTCTAGAAGCAATTTGAAGCACACATAAATACTTCTCCAGTTTCAAACTTCTCCACTTCCATCGAGAAAGTGTTGAAACAGTTTGAAGAAGTAGATCCAAACATCCTTTTAAGAAGGAATGTAGCAAGAAGGAATGTAGCATCACTCCAACGTGACATTTCCCATAAGCTTTAATGTCACTCCTATGTGTATGCTTATTAACACTATATACTTTAAATTTTTTTTCCTCATAAATTAGCAGAAGCAGACAATTCAATTACTTCAACTAGAATTTTATAAATATCAACAGTATCAATTGATTCAACCAATTTTGACGTTATCAAATGGGCTCTAAAAATGAGTAAAATGAAACTGTTTGAACAGAAAAAATGGTTTTGCAAATCAAATTAGGAGGCAGGTTCTAATATTTTTGTGAAACTCCGTTTAAATTTGCAGCATGCTACTTGTACATGAAATTTGTATACATTTTTGCGTAAACATGCCTAGTTATTTGTGTACACAAGTAGCTGCTAAACGAGCTGCTTGTGGACACAAAACCCACAACTAAGAGCATCTTCATTGCAAGAGTGTGGACAATGCACATTGTTACATTAGAGGAAGTGTATATATAAAATGTTTAAAGTTTTTGAATACAACTAGCTTTTTTCTTAAATTTAATCCAATTAAGAGCCCGTTTGGTAGCACGAAAATCGGCTAATTTGGCCGATTCTGCTAAAATTTATGAAGTTCTGGATGCATTGGCTGCATTGGCTGATTATGATGATTTAAGAAAAAAAAACTTTTTAAAATATACTTCGAATTTTATTAATAAAATAAAGATTTTTTTTTATGTAAAATAGCTAAAATGGTCATCTACAGTAACTTCAGCCAACAGCCATAAAAGTAACTCCAACCTTTCTTTTTCTACTTATTATACAATTTAGCGCGCGGAAGTAAAAGTTACGTGTTTGACAAAAAGTTGGTTGGTAAGCCTGATAAGTCAAAAAAATAGTGTTGCCAAACGGCCTCAAAGCGTGTAATGCCCTCAGGTCTAGGGGTGGGTTCGGTTCTTTCGGTTCGGTTTTGACCTAAAACCAAATATGGAATCAAAGTAAAAGTTCGGTTCGGTTTTACACTCAATAACTTGGAATCACGGTTTGATCAGTTCGGTTTGTTTATGTTCAGTTTCGGTTTTTTCGGTTTTTTTACAAAAATCATTTGATTTAAAATTGATATAAAAGTTGGAGGGATCAAACATATCACTTAAAAATGCAAGCATACTTGAACAAAATAACAAATAAAGAAAATAATCTGGAGTAATAAACATTTATGTCTTGAATTATATAAGTATTCGTGAGAGATAAAAGTGTGTGAGTATTTGTGTGTGTGTGTGTTATATATATATATTCTTAATTTACATTACTTGTGAGTAGTTTGAAAAAGGTTTATGAATGCATATGTACTATGTGATGTCGTTGAGATGAATATTTATTTGTTTTATCAATATAAAAAATTTCAGTTACAAAAAAAAAGTTACATATATAAAAATAAAAGTTAGTTGCTACTAATAACAGTAAAAACTTATAATATAATCTTTTAGTATGGGTACGACCGCCAGTACTCAACAATCGCAAAAGCTTGGAAGTTCTATCGAAGAGGTTTTTGAATCCGTTACAGGTGCGGCTGCAGATGGGTTTTATTGTTTTAGTAGGGACTGACATCGTCTTCTCTGTTTTCTGTGATCTCAAGAGCTTGGAAGTTCCCTGAAAGAAACCCAATGTAAAAAACCGAACCGAACCGTAGTAGTTTGGTTCGGTTTTGGTTTTTAGCCGTCAAAACCGAACCGAACCGAACAAACCAAACTAAAACAAAATATGAAATTTTATTTGTTAAATGTAAGCATTAATCTTAGGGAAAAATAAATAAAATACCCTGAATTTAGACTAAGTGTGACCTCTCCACCCTATACTTTTGTCTTGTTTAAGAAAATACCCCTACTCTTTAAATTTGAGATGCCCACACCCTTATAATGTTTCTAAAGATCAAAAGGATCATCCCAATTGGCAAAGTTTATACACGTTGGCCTAATTAATTTCTCGTCTTTTGTAATTGAAGAAACCATCTTTGACTACGCTTCCAAAATGTTTTGGTTTCAATTTTTTAGCGGTTGGGTTTAATTTGATTTGGTTTTCAATTTTAGATTTTTCAGACCCAACCCTACTCACGTCAAACAGAATAAGGATGTTTTTACTTGGATTGTAATTTGCCCCAGACCAGACCAGACCAGACCAGTCCAGACCAGACCAGACCAGTTCAGACCAGACCAGATCAGACCAGATCAGACTTGGATAGTTATAAAAATACAAAGAAACCAGACCTTACCAGACCAGTTCAAACCAGACCAGACCAGACCAGATCAGACCAGACCAGACCAGCAAATTACAGTCCAAGTAAAAACATCCTAAATTTCCGGAATTTGCACTCGCCTGTCGGCTTTTAAGTACCCCCTCCGTCCCCGAAAGAAGTTTTCCATTTGACTTTCACACACTTTTATGCAAGTAAACTTAATAGGGGGTAAATTTTACTGTTTTGACAATGTTTGGCTCTATTTGACATTGTTTTATACTATTTGGCACTGTTTTGATGTAGATAACTTTCCATTTAAGGAAATGAGAACTTAAATTAGAGGATGTCAAATAAGGAAAATTGGAACTTCTGAGTATTATACGTTGATCGGTTCACTGGCTCCATTTTCTTCCACCTCTTTTCTCTTTCTGCCCGTGCGCGCGCTTTCTCTCCTTAGATCCTTCACGCTGGAACATTTTTCAGGTAAACTTCACCTCGAATTTCTCCTTGTTCTCCATGCGGAACTATGCATTCACGTTCATGTCACACAAATCGTAAGCTCTCGTAATTCGTAACCACGATGCCTTAGATTCTTCACAACAACATCCGAGTCTTAATCGCAAAAGAACTCGGGGTCTTCATTTTTACTAAAAATATTCCTGCTGTGAAATTAATTAATCTGATCTGTAGATATTGGTATGCGGAATGGGTGCAATCTCTTTTAATATGCAGCTCTCTAATTATGAAGATTTAAATTTGAGATCCTATCAATTCGAGCCCTTTTATACACTCTTATTGCATTCATTTTGTTTTAAGACGTTGTTACTCTGATCTGCGATACAGTTAGAGACCGTGACATTAGAATCTCATGGACATATGAGATCTGATAATGTTACTTTGATGTAATTTAATGGTACGCTAGGTGTCATCAGCAAGAGCAGAAATGGGACTCAGTTTCACCAAGCTCTTCAGCAGGCTTTTTGCCAAGAAGGAGATGCGCATTCTGATGGTTGGTCTCGATGCAGCTGGTAAGACCACCATCCTGTACAAGCTGAAGCTGGGAGAGATTGTCACTACAATTCCTACCATTGGTATGTTCTTTCCCCACATTGTTTTTAAAAGTTAATTTTTTTGCATAGTGTAGTATGATTTGTGCAATTATGCAGAGTTGTGTCTATTGAACCCTTCTAAAGCTTAATATATTGTTATCTAGGTTTCCATGGATTACAGTTTTAAAATACCTGTTAGGGTCATACATTAGTTTGCAATATGACACTGTATAAACATGACAAGTATGGTTTTCAAATGTACCCAAAAATATTAACTTGCCCTGAACATGGTTTGTAATTACAAAATGCACATATTTTAGTAGCGCAGGTTCTTACTTCCGGGTGGGACATACTACGTATGCTTGAATTGGTTTGGTTTATTAAGAGGCTGGGATCTACACTAGGTTTATACACTTTCTATCTGGCATAACTATGCTAAGATTAAAGAGTTCTGAAATTAAAATTTATTGCCCGTATTTACCCTTCTCCCTCTAGGAGTAGTGTCTCTCTATTACTTTGGGCTTTCATTGAATATTCAACTGGTATTTTTTGCACTTTTAGTGAAAAATGATTTTCTACAGGTTTCAATGTGGAGACTGTTGAGTACAAGAACATCAGCTTCACAGTTTGGGATGTTGGTGGCCAGGACAAGGTATATTAATTTTGTTTCACGTTTTTTGATATATGATCAGTTTGAATAAGTTCTGCGTGTCCTTTTTTCTTATTGAAGTAGTAAGTACGTAGTAGTTTTTAGTTAATTATACATATCAATTGTTTTGGTTAAGGAATAAGAGAAATATTTGAATAGCAAGAGCTATCTTGATTCTTGACAGGCTTCTTTTTTATCTCTGGGAAATCTTTATGTGCTGCATAAAATAAATTTGTGCACACAACTTAGTTGTCATGGCATATGGATATAGCCATGGCGCCAAGGTATTTGTCCATGGCAATGGCTCATTTATGGTGTCACCACATGACACAAACAATAAATACTAAAAATATGAATTATAGACACTATAAATCTATGATTCAACCACTAAATGATGAGAAAAAGTTGAATACACACATTCTAATCAAAACATGCAAAGCTTGAATAAGTTTTAAGTAGCTCCAAAAAATAACTTAATGTCCAAAAAAACTTTCATGTCTTTCAAAATATGTCAACTGACTCTACTTTTTGTTTGTGCTTAATGATTATGATATAATCACCATCTATTATCACAGTCCTCACGATCATCGGGATCTGAATTTGATAACAATGGAACATCACCCTCATTTGTTTCACTCTCAGAAGGATTTTCAATCTCATCCTTTTCATCTTCGTTTTCAGCTTATGTTAGTTGAGCAGTTTTTGCGGCTTTAAGTTGCTGGTGTCTTTATTTACTTCTTATTAGTGTTTTTATTAATATTATGGGCTGACTAGATAGTTAACTAATTATCAGGGCCAAAGCCCAAAAATATCTAAGTAAACCTATTAATATCTATTCATAACATGGCGCACATGGTGTGGCGATGGAAATGGCACAAATATGGCGCCACCACGCGTAGAGTCATCGCCGTAACTTTTTTTTTTGTGGCGCACGCCATATTGCGTCATTGACAACTATCTGCATAACTTACATCCCTTCACAATCTCATAATCGATGTATAATTGTGACTTCATTACGTGTATATTTGTAGATTCGTCCATTATGGAGGCACTATTTTCAGAATACACAAGGCCTCATCTTTGTCGTTGATAGCAACGATAGGGACCGTGTCGTGGAGGCAAGAGATGAGTTGCATAGGATGCTGAATGAGGTAGGAGAGTTCCTTTTACTACATATGCATATTACAAGGTTTAACTTTTTACGTTTTTTCATTTTTTTTTTTGAAATTGTGCATCCTTACTTGAGGAGTTGAGGTTATATACAAGTGTTTATCTGATTGAAATGCTGCATCCTTACTTGGGTTTATATACAAGCGTTTCTCGTAATGACCTAAGTTGAACAGAAACATGAACTGACAAGGTGAAACATGGGAAACGGTAGTTTTGAAAAGTACAAGTCAAATATGGGGGGATCACCGATCACCTAAATATAAAACACAGGGATATATTTATAAATACTTTTTTTATGTATATGTATAAATATTTTTATCATATAAACTTCACTACGTAATCAAATAGAAATATAGTCTGCAGAATCAAATAGAAATAATGTAAATAGCTAAATTTTAACTGTAAACATTTCCAGAACACATTGTGCTACAAAATATCACTGATATTGTGCGCCTATATAAAATTCTCACAGTAGGAAAGAAGTTCACCAAAAAAGCCTCATAACACTAACTTACATTAAGAAATCTATCCAAAAGGGAACAAAGCAGAGACAAGGTGATTCTAAATTGCTAATTCACTAAGGAAACGGGTTTCTCAATTTTATTTAGTAACTGAAAACTAAAGATGGTGAATTATCATAAAAACCCAATTGTATGTGTGAATCTAGATTGTTGATATATCTATAGATAGATCTATAAATATTTATATATGTATATAGACATTTATTACCCTAAGTTAATTCAGACTTCTTTCTTCTTTCCAATTTGGTTCTGCGATTTCACTTCCTTCTCTCCAAATTGGTGCCGCTCAATTCTTTACTCATATCTTCCACCTCTCCGCCCCACCTCTGTTATTCACCTACAATTGCTGACACGGGTATCGGAATCTCCGCATCCTCAACACTATGGCTGGAGGATTTGGCCAGGGATATGCTGATCAAGGGTGGAGCTGAAGGCTAAAGGAGACCCTCATTTTCCATGATGGTGTCACTGGGCTGTGATGGGGTGTTTGTCTGGGGGTTGGGTTGGCCAGCATCATTAATGAGGTTTGGATTGGGGTGTCACTGGGCGGCTATGGGTTTCGTTAAGGTTGGACATATAACTGGTTGGTCGGGTTTTGTGGATGGTTGGTTGGTGTCACTGATGGGGCGGTTGTGGTGTGGGTTTTAGGTTGGCCAGGATCACTGATGAGGTGTGGATGGCTGTCCTTAGAGTTGGCCATAACCTGTGCATCGGGTCTGTGGCTGACTGGCTGGTTTGGTTGGCATCACTGACGTGACAGTGCTGGGGCTGGTTTGGGTGTAGTCAATTGTGGTGTCTCTGTGTTGATGACGGGTGTGTATGGCGTCACTGACAGGGGCTAGGGCCTGGGTTCAGTGGACGTCACTGGCGTGGCTGTGCTGGGTGGGGCCGGTTTTGGTTTGTGCTGGGGTGGGATATGGGATACATACTAATGCCGAAATTGGCAGAAGTTCAATGTGTGAGAGGACAGTGGTGGCTGTTATGTTCATCGCCTGCTAAAGTGGGTGGATCGGACTTCCTTATTGATTATTTTGTGAGTGTAGAACTTTATATTATATAAAGGGAATAATCGAATCTTTAGTTATTTTTAGTTAAACTTAAAACATATTACAATAATGTCTTGTTTGTTTAGGAATATATTGTAGGAAAACACCAATTTCCATTCCTTGCTCACGATCAATACTAAGGTACTAAGTACATGTATGACTTATGGCCTTGTGATTAATAGGAATTCAGCTCACAGGTTTGTCTGGATTTGTGTGTGTTTGCAACTGAGTGCCATCACAAGGCCATGTCTTTTATCACCTTTGTTGTGCTATTATATACCTAAAGCATAATTAGGATATCTAAGATTTTCGTGCTCACTGACTTTCCCCCCGTTTTCTTTTAAAACTTGATTTCTTGTTCACCCTCCTTTTTATCAGAAAGTAATGCTTACTTTACTAATTATAACTCCATTAAGTAGTTACATATCTTAATCCGTCTCTCTGCCTCACACTCTCTTAGCTTTTGAGACGATTTTCACATTATTAACCCCACTTTAGAGTATATAGGGAAGTGTACCACATTTTGATGGAGTACTCCCTCAATCCTAAAATGTAAGATACATTTGTGTTTGACCCACGTTTTAAGAAAATAAAGCATAGTTATTTTATAATTGTAACCTTCAAAAAGTAAGAAAAAGTAGTGGAAGACTAGGATTCCACAAAAGGTAAAAGGCGAAATGATAAATCAAAAGACAAAGGGGAAAAACTAAAAACTCAGTGGAGTTTAAATGAGGAATGTGTTCATATATTTGGAATCGACGAAAAAGGAAAACACATCTAACAAAAGGAGACAAAGGGAGTACTAGTTTTCATTTAAAATTGCATCCAAACCTAATAACCGCACCAAAAGCACAAAGAGCCTTACATATTTGGAGGAGTACAAAGTGTACTTGCTTTTTCTGTATTCATGAATAGGGCATCTAGTGCCAGAATCCTTGAGCTGGTCAATTTATCTACGCAACGTGTTGCCATCGGCTGTTCTGCAACCCAATTTTAAGGCTTTCATTATTTTTCTGATATCTTCTTACTTATTCCAGGATGAGCTTAGAGATGCAGTCCTACTGGTGTTTGCCAACAAACAAGATCTTCCTAATGCTATGAATGCTGCCGAGATCACAGACAAGCTTGGTCTCCATTCTCTGCGGCAACGCCACTGGTAAATGTTTTCTAAGGTTTCACCATCTCGTTTTAATTCTCTCTGGCTTTTAATGACTTTCTGACTTTTGTCACCCTCATGATTTTTTCAGGTACATCCAGAGCACATGTGCAACTTCAGGAGAGGGGCTTTATGAAGGTCTTGATTGGCTTTCCAACAACATTGCTAACAAGGTAACCTTGTGATTTACTCCTCATTTTTCTGTACAATCTGTTTTTTAGTAATTTTTTAGTAAAGGGGGATTTGACTTTGCGCCCCATAGTTTGGGACAAATTGGACTTTGCACCCCATTTAAAAAATTGTGTACCATTCTATTATCATAAAAAATTGACTTTACACCTCATTCCTTTACAAATTTTCGACTTATGAGTGCACATGTTAATCTTTCTCAAAATGGGGTGCAATGTCCAATACCACCCAAAAATGGGGTGTAAAATCACATTTCCGCTGTAGTAATAAATTACACACTGTCGGGCCAACTTGTCAAACTCACCCTGTTATGAGAGAGGCATCCAAAAAATGGCTGTGAATATGTTCCATATATATATCATAAATAATGACATCATCATCATCATTCATCATCATTACCCCAGTGCCGCAAAGGCTCCCACCACGGTGGGGGGACATAATAAATAATGACATAAAATACATATTTTTGAATGGACATAATAACTTCCACTACGATCAAATGGTGACAAGTGTTTCATAATCTGACATATGTTTCATAAATGAGCAAAAGAATGTTTATAATGATTATTGCTGTAAAAATTAAAAATGTATGCTTTATAATGGTTCTTTGAATAATTGAATGTTTGATACTATAATAATTTTTCTGTAAAAAATCAGACATTTATTGTTTGTTTATCTGAAAGTATGTTGTGCTTTTTTGGAATGTTTCTTCCATGCTCTAACGGGACGTCTTAACTATGGATATGAAACATTAGCTGGTTTTCAATCAGTGCATCCATAACATCCTGAGTTGTCAAAAGATGATTATTTTCAGCGGAATATATAACTGGCTGAATGAGTTATGTCTTAACGCCTATCTTGTATTGTGCTCTGTTTCTAGGCCTAGAGTGCTACAGCAATGTTCACGTTATTGATTCTGGATGTATCAGATTATCCCCCATCCTCCCCGACAATTGTCTTCTGAATTATTGACATATACGTTATTTCAATGTCTTTAGCCAGCAAACAGTTGCACCGAATACTTGTTTATTTGCTTTTATAGTTATATATATATTGTCGTGTCTTCACATTTTTAAGGAGAAAATAATTTAAATACCTTAACTTTAGGTAGGTGTGATATCCCCATCATAAACTTGTCTATGTTATTTAAATATCCCCTTCTTTAGCTAACATGTGAAATAGGTACCCTAGCCTTTGATAAGTTGATGCAACTAGCCCCTCCTTTTATTCATCCACTCCATCTCTGTTCCCACCTCCAGGGAAGATGTCCCTCAATCTCAAATTGGATACTATCTCCGTAGGGACTCTCCAGCGGTCCTGTTTCACGTTGAATAAAAATGCGGCTGTAGATGAAGACCTAGTGATAGTGGTGGACTCGGGTCGGGCCACCCGGCCCGCTACTGTGCGGGACCGGGACCGGCCTGGTTCTCGGGTCCGGGTCGGGCCTAGGCCCGGGGGTGGGGCGGGTCCGGGCTCGGGGTCTTACAATTGGTGAACCGGCCCGGCCGGGTCGGGCCTGGGTCCAGGCCAAATTGATTTTTTTTTTTTCATTTTTTGGGGTTCCACCCGGGTTGGGCTTGGTGGTTAGGAGGGGTTTTGGGGATTTTGGGGGTGGGGGTTAGGAAAGTAAAAAAAAATTTAACCAAACCGGCGGCCCGGACCAGGACTGGACCCGATGGTTACCCGGGCCGGTCCCGGGTCCACCAATTTTGAACCGACATAAAACCAAGAAAAACTAAAAGGCAGAAATTGATCTGTGATGCCAAAGATGTTCATCCTTCTGAACAAAGAAATGAAGAATTTGAAAATACTGGCATAGAAAATGATATTGACAAAACAAATATCTCAAATGATGATCCAACTTCCTTAAACGAGGAAGATATTCCAGAATATGATAGAAACGTTGATAATTATGAAATTTCAATAAACTACGTTTCTACTAGAATGCAATGGAATCGAAAAGATATTGATATTAATGAGATATTTGTCTATGCCGTTGCCACGAATGTTGTGAATGAAAACAATGACAATGAGCCAACATCAATTGAAGAATGTCGGAAACGACATGATTGACCAAAATGGAATGAAGCTATTCAGACTGAATTAAAATCACTTGAAAATGTGATGTTTTTGGATCGATAGTCCCTACGCCAAAAGGCGTAAAACTTGTGGGGTTTATATGGGTATTTGTTCGTAAACGCAATGAGAAAAATGAAATCGTAAGATATAAAGCCCGACTTGTTGCCCAAGGTTTTTCCCAAATGCGGGAATCGATTATGAAGAAACCTATTCTCCAGTAGTTGATGCAACTACATTAAGGTTTCTCATTGGCATGCCTGTTTTTGAAAGGCTGCAAATGCGCCTAATGGATGTAGTGACTGCATATTTATACGGTTCACTCGATACAGACATTTATATGAAAGTTCCCGGTGGATTCAAAATGCCTGAAGCTTATAGCTCAAAACCTCGAGACATGTTTTCCCTTAAATTACAAAAGTCGTTGTATGGACTAAAACAATCTAGATGAATGTGGTATAAGCGTCTCAGTGAATACCTTCTCAAAGAAGGATATAAGAATGATCCAACTAGTCCATGTGTTTTCATTCGGCGATCAAATTCGGGATTCGCCATAATTGCAGTATATGTTGATGACCTGAACATTATTGGAACTCCCGATGAAATTGAAAATACTGCAAATTATTTTATGAAAGAATTTGAAATGAAAGATCTCGGGAGAACCAAATTTTGTCTCGGACTTCAAATTGAGCATTTGAAGAATGAAATTTTTATTCATCAATCCAATTACACCGAGAAAGTTTTGAAGCGGTTCTACATGGACAAAGCTCATCCTCTAACTTCACCGATGGTGGTTCGTTCTCTCAACATACACGATGATCCATTCCGTCCCCGAGAAGACAACGAAGAAATACTCGGTCTCGAAGTACCATATTTGAGTGCTATTGGAGCTTTAATGTATTTAGCAAATAATACTAGACCAGATATTGCACTTTCTGTGAATTTATTAGCTAGGTACAACTCATGTCCAACAAGGCGTCATTGGAACGGAATCAAACACATATTCCGTTATCTCCGTGGTACAGTTGATCTCGGCCTATTCTACCAAAAAGATGCAAAAGCCACTTTAATCGGATATGCAGACGTTGGATACTTATCAGATCCTCAAAAGGCGAAATCACAAACCGGGTACGTATTTACTTATGATAACACCGCAATCTCGTGGAGATCTATGAAACAGACTTTGACAGCTACATCATCAAATCATTCGGAGTTCATTGCACTTTATGAAACCGGGAGAGAATGTGTGTGGCTGCGATCTATGATTCAACACATCCAAAATGAATGCGGTATGAAACCTCTTACTTGTCAGCCTACTGTGATCGATGAAGACAACACTGCGTGCATAGCTTAGATTAAAGAAGGCTACATCAAAGGAGACAGAATGAAACACATATCACCAAAAATTCTTCTCTACTCATGACCTGGAGAAAGAAGGGACGATCAACATTCAACAAATCAGATCTAGTGAAAATCCGGCTGATCTCTTCACCAATTCATTGCCCCCGAAGAAATTCATAGAACTTGTACAGAAAACCGGCATGCGCCGCCTTCATAATTTATGCTAAATTTAGGGGGAGTATTTGAATGCACTGCACTCTTTTTCCCTTCATCAGGTTTTTATCCCACTGGGTTTTTCCTGATAAGGTTTTTAACGAGACAATATATCCAAATACAACTACATGATACGTCGTAATCTTTACCCCTTTAATTTCACACTAATTTTCACAATACATTTTCAACATAACAAACACCTATTCAAGGATGAACATTCAAGGGGGAGTGCTTTAAATTCCCGAGAAGATCAGACATGTGTGAATTGTTTATCCTTGTCATTAGGACACCAAGCTACTCCTGATCCTTGTAATTCATATCCTTGTAATCATAGTTAGACAAGTGGATAAATATAATATTACCAGCAAATTGTGTAGAATCATTCCTAGATGATTCATCCTCTTGCTTGACTAGTATAAATAGGGCTTATTCAATCCTTTGTAAGGAAACTCAGAGATTCAAAAAATCTTGATAAGAAGAAGTAATTTAAAGCTTATTATTTATATATCTATCTCTTAAACTTGTTCTACATCTTCTTGATTTCACAATACAAACAAATTTAAAATTGGATGCAATAGTGAATAGTGGTCCATATCAAAGAGCTACATGAAGTAAATTTTTATCGATACGAGATCTTACTCAATCCATTCATGCATGATTCACCAACTTATACTGCACACGCAAGATGTTTAATACTCTTTGCGTATTGAAATGTTTACTACAAAGGGGTTGACACAATATTTAAGGAAAAATGGTAGGGTAATGAACGCGGTAGAAAAAGTAGGAGTGATGACAAAAAAGTATGAAAGAAAATATAAAGAAGTAGACAATGGTAATTGAGTTTTTATAAATAGAAAATTTAGCAAAAGGCAAAGTGTAGCAAACATTACAATGCATCTCAAAAATTGACTGTCTTCCCGGTTGAATTTTTATCTGAAATTTGGTATGAGTAAACTAGACTTAATGAAAAGGATGCTCAAAAAAATTCATCAAATATTTCCACCAGAAACCTCCCCAATTGGCGATGGACGGACAAAACCTCATATATAAGAGGTGAATTGCACTTTTTAAGTTAGTTCGAGGGTCTATTTGACCCTTTAGCCATTTATCTTCTACTTAGTATAGGTATAAATAAGGATGTTTTTACTTGGACTATAATTTGTCCCAGATCAGACCAGACCAGTTCAGACCAGACCAGACGTCGATAGTTATAAAAATACAAAGAAACCAGACCTTACCAGACCAGACCAGACCAGTGCAGATCAGACCAGATCAGACCAGGCCAGTAAATTACAGTCCAAGTAAAAACATCCTAACACATCATATATGTGAAATTTTAAGGGAAAGTTCCCGAAATAGATCCATAACAGTTTGATAACCAAAATAGAACTGCCATGTTTTTTATTCCCAAAATAGGAGTAATTACTGTCAAGTTTGGAATATACTGACATGTTTGAAGTATGATACTGCCAAAACATGACAGTAATTAGTCTTATTTTGAGAATAAAAACATGAAAGTTTTATTTTGGAATTTTCAAACCTTTTAGTCATATTTCCGGTAATATCTCACATTTTTTTAATTGTTACTCTACTGTTTTCAGTACCTGTTTCTCGATCTCTCTAAGGGAGTGTTTGTGATTGCTTGTGCTTTTTAAAAGTGATTTTTTTAAGAGATTATTGGAAAAGTGATTTGTAGTAAAAGTTGGTGATGTTTGGGAATAGAAGTGATTCTAATTAAAATGTAAAAGTTGGAGTGTTTGATAAAAAAGTGATTGTGATGGTATATTTTAATGAAAAGTACAAAAATAACCTTTTTTAACATTTCTCACGTAGGGTTGGGGGTTATTTGAGGGTTATTTTGGGGGTTAGGGGATTTATTTGCCATTATCATTAGTCATAAAGTTGAGGGTATTTACAACTTTACCTAGAAGTTATTAAAAGCTGGGCTGGGGTAGTTTTTAGATTTTGGCTTTAAAACACTTTTTTTAAGTCAAAGTTGGGGTTACCAAACACTTAAGATTGCTTTTTTTAATCTAAAAGCTCCAAAACACTTTTTTTAAGCAAACAAAAACACTCCCTAAAGCTTACCCCTCACACTTTAGCTCTTTAGACTTTAGTGCTCCCTATTTCAATATCCATCAGTTTGATTCATATTTTTCTAACCTTTGTTTCATTCAATCATATCGATATAACTAAATTTATACGGAGGAATTTTTATTCAAATACGGAGTATATATTACTATATTAGGCGCAAATTTCGCATGCAATTCCAATCCGCATATCTAAACGTTGCTGCAATTGGGTTCTGTTTCTACCAGTAGGTATGGAAATCGACTCCGTGGAAATGCTCTGTAAACATGTGAGTTCGTTCGTTCGTTCGTTCATCTATAAAACATCCCAGTCCACTTCTTATCCAGCCATTTTGTCGAACTAGTAACGGTTTATTTCTGAGTTAATGCAGTTAATTTTCTGCGCCGTTCAGAGGTGCCGTCTGAAAAATGATATGTGCAGATTATCAGTGAAACTGGCCCCTTCTCCATGGTGCAATCCGCCTCTCGTTCGAATCTCAGGTCATCTCTCTTTCTCTCTGAGGGGAAATGGGTGCTTGTACTGATTATACGAGAATCTCTATAACAAAAATACTTTAACGAGGGACTAAAACTGCATTTGGAAGGGGGCATGCAATGATTATAACCAATAATGCAGGAAGCTGTAAAATGAAAGTGGGTGGTGTTCCATTGCAGTTCAGATTATGGCACCCCCCAATATACAATTTCCAAGCCACTGACGGCTCGGCCGCTTACCTATTACCATGTCTAGTCATCTATCGGATAAGCTTTACAGGGCTGGACAAATTTGCACAACAGAATGCCAGCACACAGACACACACCTATACTACATACATATACGCTTGGGTGCGTGTATGGATGCATATATTATGCTCAGATGGAATTTTATGCATTTATAGATCCCGTTACTTCAGGTCGTTCTGTTTGAATTAGTTGCGATTCAAGTTCCCACGTCCAGAAGCCTTTATAAATTGAACCTAACATTAGACAGATGTTACATTCTGGTTTTATTTTGGTGAAACAGTGTCGGATACAGGAGTTGGAAGTACACTGGAGGAATACCAACATTTGAAGTACCAAAGTGGCCTCGTTCAGGCTGGTAAATGGGGTTAGTAAAGCCATTTCATGGCATTCATTTTACTTCTTTTTTTTTAAAAAACAACAATATCATTCTCAGACTGTCCATAATGAATTCCACTTCTCTCTCCCTCTGTCAGATGGGTTGATGTCTATTTCTACTACAAGTAAGTTTTATCACCACATGTTTTGACAATGTTGTGAGTATTGCATGAGTTCACATAACCTTTCCTTGAATTATAAGCAATCAGTTATCAGTGAGACTGATAGAGTGGGCATGGAACTGTCAAAAGTCATTTTGGGATTAGAGTTAAATTGAATATGAACTTGTGAATTATGACCTGGGGCTCAACACGTTTCAATTACTCTTTGTTATCTTCCATGCTGAAAGATCTTTTCTTAATAGATGTTATGTAACTTACACTAGTATACAATGTTCAGACAATCTGTATATACTTTGCCCGTAATGCGAGTACTCTTAATCTTGTTTATGTTGTTATAGTTATACACTATAACTTGTGATGTGATGACATGGTGAAGTGGACATTTAAATCAGGTGCTTTGATTTATAGAAGCGATTCTTTACCTGCATCTTCTGATACATATCAGAAAACGAACCACTGCAGGTATTTCTGACAAAGATATGCATAACTTAAATCTCAACATGAAAAACACCGCTTCTTCTAAGAGACTGACTAGACTGCCTTCAACCTCAAAGAATGGCGCACATTTCAGGCATATCCGCTTTTACACCTCATTACCACTTTACAGCTCAATTTTAGTTATAAATTTTGTTTTCATCTCACAGTGGCACTGAAGTATCAATGTCTACATTTGAAAGTTTTGATCACTTATTGGAAGATTTAACCTTATTTTTTAAGAAGGTGAGCAACATGTCCTACCACTTATCAAATCTTTGTTCATCTGTAGTTATATCATGCTAGTCTAGTTTCTCGTTTCTAACTTCTCACTTCATTACTTACTATTAACATTCAGTTTCTTTTGACAATTTTACAGATGCTCATTTTAAAAATCCCGGTAAGTTCTTGCGTTTTTGTGAAATATTTTATGCCTTATGTTTAGAAATATAGGAAATTCAATCTTTCTGATATTACAAGTTTATATTTGGAGTATGGGTAACAGTGTAACACATTCCATTCGGAAGGTCTTTTATTTAAACTATATGGGATGCAATGATGCATAGCAACAAATCTTACACGGGCTCTTTAAAACTCTCACAATCACCATAGTGCAATTTTTTGGTACAGAACATGAAAAATATTCATTGTTTTAATCAGCTTCTCTTTTAAAGAATTTTAACAGATTTTTTAAGATACAAGAAAATGGTCTTCATTCTTTTCATTTGCTTGTCCAAATATTTAATATCATACTTCTTAAATTGCTATAATCCTTGTATGGTTGAGCACATATGATTTTTCCTTTCACCATCATACCATGTAGTTGAAAGTCGCTTAGATTCTTTTGCAGTTGTTGATTTTTCATGCTCCTTTACAGTTAGTTGCAGTTGAACTGTTGGTTGATTATTATAACATGCCTGGATCTTGCACGGAAAATTGTATTATGGCCATTGAGTGTGGTTCTTTACCTTTCCCGGTAGAAAGCGTCACCAGCCTAAGAACATGTTTTGATGATTATGTCCTTAAGCACAGGAATAAACTGGATAGTGTTTGTCCTTATTGCTTTTTAACTGGGTAAGTTGTGAATAAGCCAGGGCTATTTCCTGTTTATTATTGATGTCTGCACATGTTATTTATTTGATCTTTTTTTTTGCAAATGTGGGGATTCTTTAACGAAATGTATGGTTGTGAATGGTTCGGGTCCTTCTTCTATTGACTTAGAATACTTAAGTGGTAAAGATTATACGCTTGTTGAAAACTTGCAGTAAATTAAATATACTCCCTCCATCCCTAATTGGTTGTCCGAATTCCGAAATACTTTGGCACTTTACCTTTAAGAAAAAAGTTTGTTGTTTATGTTCGCTCTCTCTGTCTCTCTTCTACATAAATCTCAACCATGCACCTTTCACATCATTAACATTTGTGCCCGACAAAGTTGAAAAAACAATTTTGGACCAAGGATATTTCAATGGGTTTGAAACCATTTTCGTAAACCTATTCGTAGGGAAAATTTGATGGTTGGCACTGGAGTTGCTAGCTGCTCAGGAAACATGCAAGGCAATGCACTGGTGATGGAAGCTGTGGTTGTTATTAGTGAATTACCTATGGTAGCTACTCCATCCTGCTTCAGGGAACATGAAAGAGAGACACAGGTTTAATTCATAAAACTCAATTTTACCAATATGTGTTAAAAGGTTTAATAACTTTGTTTGGATCTCCTGAATTAAACATATGGACATATGGTGATTAAAATATGTATTTTTTAAGGTTTTGTTCTATAGAGACTTTGTACCCTCTACTATCCCGAAATCATTATTGAGTGCATTGGAAAGCATCAATTGGAAGAGCTATGGATTGACACTGAGGAACATCATGGACCAAGATGGGTGTGCATTGCTTGAATGGGAAAGTTTGCCGCCAACTCTCCATATTGATATCATCATTCATTATTATGACAAACAATATCCTTCACAATCTGATTCACAACTCACATCACCTTTAGATTGGCATGGAATTCAATCATCGAATTGTATTATCTGCATTTGTCATTTTCATAACTTGCTCTCAAGGTGAATTTACTGGATTCACTAATCAGTCAAAAAGGTCGAGGTCTGACCAGAAGAGCTGTCAAGCTTGCTCTTGATGAACTGAAGGAGAAGAATAAAGGTGTCCTTCTTAGTCAGCATGCACAAAAGGTAAATTCCGCTCTACAATTTACTGCATCTGTTCATCTGCTAGAAAAGCTATTCTAAAGCAACTATTGTGGGCACTCTTAGCTGATGTAAAAAACAGTGCTCAACTCATAATTGAAACTCTTGTCAATCTACAGGGTTTATACTGATTCGAGTGTCTTTCTTAGATTTGCAGTTACGCCCCAGATCTTTCAAAAACAATCGCCCGTTTGATCTTATCCTCAAATGACCGAGACTTCCGAGGGGAATGTTGCTCTCTCCTGGGACTTCAGTTTTCAGATTTCAACATGGAAGCAGTTGAAGGTTCCATTAGAGAAAGGATAGTTTCAGTGATTGGAAAACACGACCAAAAGACTAGGGTAAGTAGAGAAGCTTCAGAGCTGCTCTTCGAAGACCAATGCATCCAAAGACCGGAAGACTTCATGGAAGAGGAATACCAGGAGCTTGAGGAAGTCTACAATTCTCTCGGCTTAGATTAGACCCCCCTCCCCTGTACATCTTGTATTAGAGAGTGAAGAGATGATATTATTGATTGTCAGAATGGTTAGATATATACATTTTGTGAACAACTAATTAAGGTAACTAAAGATGTAATATACAAATGATAGCTGCAATATAAACTAAGGATCTGCGGAATAACTGGTAATAAGAAAATATTAACCTTCCTTCTACAAATGTGCAGAATTAATGGTAACAAGGAAAGATTTACTTTCATTCTACATGCCCCTCAAGCCAGGAGTGGACGTAAGAGTAGGAAATGGTTACAAGAAAGTGGTATAGTCGGTGCAATCAATGAGTTGATCAACAGAAATCACACGGCAAACATGAAGCATGAAGCAACCCTTTCTGAACACATTGTTGAACAAAATGATATGGTGAGGTGTTTCATGAGACAGTGAAAAACAAGATTTGCACAGGTGTAATTTGCAGTGGCATTGTCATAGAAAAGAGTCGGAGGACCGGGAATAGAGATTCAGAGCTCTGAGAGGAGGGATTGAACCGAGGCAACCTCAGTTGTGGCAGACGCTAGTGTGCGATACTCAACCTTAGTTGAAGTCTTGAAGATCGAGCAATTGTCCTTTGGGAAAGTTCACGAAATATGCGTTAAAAAGTTTGAAAATCCAAAATATGATTGTTATGTTTTTATTCCCAAAATAAGAGTAATTACTGTCAAGTTCGGAAAATAACACCATGTTTCAAGTTTGATACTCTCAAAACATGGCAGTAATTAGTACTATTTGGAGAATAAAAACATAATACTCATATTTTGGAATATATAAACGTTTTTAGTCCTATTTAGGGTAATTTCATCACTTTAAGGCAGAGGACATCACTTTAAAATTCATAATGTCCCTCATGAATTTTAAAGGTAGTCTTCTCCATATTTTCCTCTCATTCTAATATGACAGTATTCAGATCTCAATTCAATTTTAGGAAAGTGTTGAGGACTCTTCAATTCATCGAGAAGTCCATCGATGACCGGAATCACAAATTTGTCTTTGATGCTATGCTAAGAATGCCTCTGCACCGAGTCTTCAAATAATTAAGGCCCAATCAAAAAATAGTATGTGTGTAATATAAATTGGAGAGCCCAAATAAAACATTAACAAAGAGTTTCTACTGTTAGGTACGTATTAGAGAGTAAGCCCAAAATATACAAGCACCAAGTCCAGTCTTACATTCTTAGGACGTTTCTATTTGGACTGTAATTTCCTGGTCTGGTCTGGTCTGGTTTCTTTGTATTTTTATACTATCCAAGTCTGTTCTTGTCTGGTCTGGGACAAACTACAGTCTAAGTAAAAACATCCTTACTTATTTCCTGGCCATACGTATTTAAATTTTGGATCAAATTTTCTGTAAATTCAAAGTAGTATCAAAGTATTTAAGTAGAAAAATATTTCTGTATCATCTTTACAAATCATGTTGTTTAACAAACATTTTCAGGAAATGCACTGTGAACAATTTATTTCACAAAACACTTAACAAAATTTCAAATATAGATTTGTATGGTCTGAAATATCAGCAACCCGAAATTTGTAGAAACATTACCTCCACGTTATATTTTATTTGGTGACCTTTCATGCCCTTAGAACTTGATCATTAGAATCTCACTCTAATGCCAACAACTCTATCTATGAAAGTTTATATGAGATTGATTTTTCTTGTAAAAGGGAATTGAATTCAGTCTTTAAGATTTGTTATGGTACAGAGTAATACACGAAAATAGATGCTCCCATTGTATGTCTGATTCACACTCTGAAGTGGTTATGAGGATTCATTCATCTCCCACTCAATATAGGCACACTCATGGAGAAAACAAATTGCTATAATTGGAAATTGCAAAAGACCGAAAAAATTATACTGCTAGGAAAATGATTATTACCATTTATTACTTCTATTATTTTGGCGCTCCGGGTCCCCAATAATTCCCAATAATCACATTAATAATTTTTTTCGAAGTGCTACAGCGTTCCCTCCAAAATTTCACTCCCACTATTTTGTTTATATATATATATAGTTTGGATCAAATGAGAATATCATCTAATGAGAGAAATAAGAATGCATCTCTACCATTGATTTCCTATGATCAATTAACATGCCGTGATAGTACTAACGACATAAGTTGATGCGCCGTCATTAAATTTAAGGATGCTCCACCTCTTGATGTACTCAGTATGGTATTACATACATAACTTCCATATATGTCAACTCTTTAATTTAAGCATTCACTTTTCAACTTGATAATAATTGTAAGTCAACCCTTTTGGTCAAAGGATTTTTACTTTTTGGGAGTACATTTTTAAGCTCTCTCCAATTAAGAGTATTCCACTACCGAACTAACTTGTATTTAAAAAATTATTTAAAAGTATTTGTTTGTCAATAGCTATATTCTTTCAAAACGTTTTTATTTGGTTTGCACTTTTATGAATGTTGCTGCATTTAGTATAATTATTATTTAATAATAGTTCTTTCTTTCATTTTTAAAATAGTAATAACAATAATAATTATGTAAATGCACAATTATTTTGGTTGCAATGCATGAATAATAGAGTCACACCCTATTGAGAGAATAGTTAAAAGAAAAATGAGAATGAATCTGATCGTTAAAAATTGTGCATGACGTGAAACAAAAATGTGCATTCCTATGAATCACAAAGTGCAGCCACAATTTTTAAACAAATTAAGTTGTTATACCACTTTGAATTGTGCATTATTTGAACCATAAATATGCAATATCATTAATCAAGACGTGCATCATTTTAGGCCGTTCTCATTTGTCACGTGAGAAATTGTTCTCATCAAAACCATATTATAAAAGAGTAATGAGAATGAATCTGATCGTTAACAATTGTGCATAGTTTGAAACGAAAGTTTGTTTAATCTGTCATTAATTACAAAGTGCAGGTACATTCTCAAATAAATTAAATTCTTATCCTACTTTAAATTAATGTGCATTACATTTACCATAAATGTGCAACATTATTAACCAAGATTTGCATCGTTTTAGGTCATTCTCATTTATCACGTGAGAAACCATTCCTCCAAAATCATATCCTAAAAGAGAAATGTGAATGATTCAGATCATAAAAATTGTGCATGATTTGAAACAAAAATGTGCTTGTCACGAATCCCAAAGTGCAACTACATTTTAAAATAAATTAAATCGTTATATCACTTTAAAATGTGCATTATGTTTACCATAAATGTGCAACATCATTAACCAAGATGTGTATCGTTTTATATCATTCTCATTTGTCACGTGAGTGCAATGATTTGCACAATTGATAGTTTTATGTAATAATATATGTGCACTAATAGCCTAGAAATACACTAAAAGTAAACAGAGTGAATAAAGTATGATAGCGATCTAAACGAAAAATGAATGTATGTGATTGTTAAAATTGTGCACTATGTAAAAGAAAAATGTGCATTGTAATGGATCACAGAGTGAAGCCACATTTTAAAAATAAAATAAAATGTTATACCACTTTGAAACAAAAATGTGCTTGTCACTAATCACAAAGTGCAATTACTCTTTTTAAAAAATTAAATTGTTATACCACGTTAAATTGTGCATTATTTTTACCATAATGTGCAACATCATTAACTAAAATTTACCCCAATTGACTTTTTTTATATGTTAATTACTCCGTAATATATGTGAATTAGTCATCTAGATATACACTAAAAATAAATAAAGCATGTTATTCATTCAATAAATAAAAGTACGTACTCTGAAAAAGTAACACATGGTGGATAATAGAAGTAACAATGCACTAATACACAATAACTATATTCCGTACGTGCAATGGTTTCACCTAGTTTGCTGACTTTTGGAATTCATTTAACCGCCTTAAAGGAAAGAGAGTCGGTTACCATTAATAATTAAATTATCATTGTAAACTTTCAGTTAAGTTAACGTGAGATGCTCCGTTAGTTGTCCAAATTAGTTTGGACTAATTTCATTTATGCCACCGTTTTAAACTCAATAATGCCGTAGACCTTTTATTTTGGGTGAATATGATTTTTTTCTTATTTCTCTCCTAAGTCACCATTCTCACTTGAACTCTACCATATATATATATATATAGAGGACTGCTCAGGTCCCTCCGGAGGGACGGGAGGGACTGTCCGAACTTTACTGTTTGGGGCGGTTCCCGGTGGAATTTTTTGATGAAATTTTTTGAGCATGTTCCTCATCAAGTCTAGTTTGTCCATACCAAATTTCAGCTCAAAATTCGACCGGGAAGGCAGTCAAATAAATTCTTGAAACTTACTGCACTTTATATATGCGCAGAATGTGCAGTAAGCTTCAAGAATTTATTTGACTGCCTTCCCGGTCGAATTTTGAGCTGAAATTTGGTATGAACAAACTAGACTTGATGAAGAACATGCTCAAAAAATTTCATCAAAAAATTCCATCGGGAACCACCCCGAACAGTAAAGTTCGGACGGTCCCTCCCGTCCCTCCGGAGGGACCTGATCTTTTCTATATATATATATATATATATAGAGTGCTCTTCATGTCAGGCCGGCCTGACGGGCTGCCCCGTCCGGCCGAGCCCGTTTGGGCACCTTCCCGGTGGAATTTTTTGATGAAATTTTTTGAGCATGTTCCTCGTCAAGTCTAGTTTGTCCATACCAAATTTTAGCTCAAAATTCGATCGGGAAGGTCGTCAAATGATTTTTGCAAGTTAACTGGTCCGGAAAATACATATTCCGGACCAGTTAACTTGCAAAAATCATTTGACGACCTTCCCGATTGAATTTTAAGCTGAAATTTGGTATGGACAAACTAGACTTGATGAGGAACATGCTCAAAAAATTTCATCAAAAAATTCCACCGGGAAGGTGCCCAAACGGGCTCGGCCGGACGGGGCAGCCCGTCAGGCCGGCCTGACATGAAGTTTTCTCTCTCTCTCTCTATATATATATATATATATATAGAGGGCTCTTCTCATCAGGCCGGCCTGACGGGCTGCCCCGTCCGGCCGAGCCCGTTTGGGCACCTTCCCGGTGGAATTTTTTGATGAAATTTTTTGAGCATGTTCCTCATCAAGTCTAGTTTGTCCATACCAAATTTCAGCTCAAAATTCGATCGGGAAGGTCGTCAAATGATTTTTGCAAGTTAACTGGTCCGGAATATGTATTTTCCGGACCAGTTAACTTGCAAAAATCATTTGACGACCTTCCCGATCGAATTTTGAGCTGAAATTTGGTATGGACAAACTAGACTTGATGAGGAACATGCTCAAAAAATTTCATCAAAAAATTCCACCGGATAGGTTCCCAAACGGGCTCGGCCGGACGGGGCAGCCCGTCAGGCCGGCCTGACATGAAGTTTTCTCTATATATATATATATATATAACTAGATATAGATAGGTGCACTTTTAGGAATAAGATGTATTTGAGGATCCAAACTTTGATAAGGGGAAATTGTTTTGGTTCACCAAATGACCAAAAACATCTTGAAATAGAGTCAATACTACATAGAGTTTTATTTGATTACATATTTTTTATACACGCTTTATACATTATTTGTATGTACATATATTTCTTACATTGAAATGAATTGTCTGTGTATAAAGAAATTAAGAAAGTATACATTTTTGAGTAAAAAAAAAAGAAAGTATACAAACGAAAAATGTATAGATTTTTTCGTACTACATAAATTACATCAGGAATAAGAAAAAGGATATAGATTTTTTTTTCTATATTTCGACCTTATGTTCAGCATAATGTCTTGCACTAGGAGGCAGATGCATGAAGTACAACTTATCATATAGGATTATAAACAATTTATTTTGTACACACTTTTTTGTATCCACCTTTTTTTGGTGAAGAGCTTGCATATGAAAAATACCATTTGTACAAACGTGTTTTTCCTTGCACCTCCTTACATTTGTTTTCTCGTGTTATCCGATGCAAGTTGCCCTTCTTAGTTCTTACTACTCCTCAGCATAACTTTCTTACCGAGACGCTGAAATTTTGAGTTTTTCACATCCTCCTAGGTACTAACATGGCATCTGCAGTGATCAGAGTCCCACGGTACTTTAAGAATTTTAATTCCTGCCAATCGTATAGTTATTAAATTAATGGACTTTACATGGAATCCAAGTTATTAATCAGGTCATCCCTGCTCGCTCACACTCTCCAAGAATGCATCCGAACCCAGTCCATCCCGCTCACCAAACAGCTTCACTCTATCATCCTTACATCCGGGTGTTTCAGAGAGCGATTTGTGGCCAATCACCTCATCAATGTCTACTCAAAATTGGGCCGTTTAGATGTTGCGCATTTTTTGTTTGATAGAGTGCACAACAGAAATGTCCTGTCTTTTAATATTTTGCTGGGAGGGTACATATGGAACGGAAATTTAAGTGCTGCTATGAACTTGTTTGACAAAATGCCTGATAGAAATTTGGCAACTTGGAATGCGGTTATAAATGGGTTCGCCCAGTTCGAGTTCAATGAAAAGGCATGGAACTTGTTCTTTGAAATGCACTTGCTTGGTTTCTCACCTGATGCATTTACTCTTGGGAGTGTTCTCAGAGCTTGTGCTGGATTAAGAGATTTGAGCAAGGGAAAACAAGTTCACTCTTATGCTTTGAGGTCAGGGTTGGATGGTGATCTGGTTGTTGCAAATGCACTGGCTCACATGTACATGAAATCTGGGAATCTTGAAGAAGGCGAGATATTGATTAAGGGGATGCCGTTTCAGAATTTAGTTGCTTGCAATACTCTTATTGCAGGTAAGGCACAAAGCCAATGTTCTGAAGGTGCTCTGGATCTTTATAACATGATGAAAATGGAAGGGTTGAGACCCGACAAGATTACATATGTAAGTGTGATCAGCTCATGTTCTAAGTTGGCTGTTCTTGGACAGGGGCAACAGATTCACACTGAGGTGATAAAATCCGGAGCCATCTCAGTCGTTGCTGTTGTCAGCTCATTGGTCAGTATGTATTCAAGGTGTGGATGTTTGGATGACGCAATTAAGGTGTTTGAAGAGAGGAAGGAAGCAGATATAGTTTTGTGGACTGCAATTATAGCTGCTTATGGGTTTCACGGGAGAGGACAAGAGGCGTTAGAAATATTTGATAGTATGGAATTAATAGGACTGGAAGCAAATAACGTCACTTTCTTGAGCGTGCTTTATGCATGTAGTCACTGTGGGCTGAAAGATAAAGGGCTTGAGATTTTCTACTTGATGGTGCAAAAGCATAATTTAGAACCTCAACTGGAACATTACACCTGTGTGGTTGACCTTTTGGGAAGATCAGGTCGTTTGGATGAAGCTGAAGCTTTTATAAGATCTATGCCTGTCAAGGCAGATGCTATCATATGGAAGACTCTTCTATCAGCCTGTAAAATCCACAAGAATGTAGATATGGCCGAAAAGATAGCTACAGAAGTCCTAAAGATTGATCCTCAAGATTCAGCTTCTTATGTGCTTCTTTCTCACACCCAAGCCTCTGCTAGAAGGTGGAAGCATGTCTCAGAAGTTTGGAAAGCAATGAAAGAGAGAGGGGTGAAGAAAGAGCCAGGGGTGAGCTGGGTTGAGTTAAAGAACCAGATTCATCAATTTATTATGGGCAGCAAATCTCATCCACAGTGCGAAGAGGTTGAAAATTATCTGGATGAACTAACTGCTGAATTGAAGCTAAATGGGTATGTGCCAGACACGGCATCAGTTTTGCACGACATGGATGTGGAGGAAAAAGAGCACAACTTGTTACATCACAGTGAGAAGTTGGCAATTGCTTTTGCTCTCATGAACACCCCCGATGGTGCGCGGATTAGGGTGATGAAGAACTTGCGAGTGTGCAATGACTGCCACCTTGCAATCAAGTACATTTCCAAGATCAAAGGGCGAGAGATTGTTCTTCGTGATTCCAGTAGGTTTCATCACTTCAAAAATGGGCATTGTTCTTGTGGAGATTACTGGTGACTTGAGAGGAGTTCAATTTGGTATGCTTATTATTCCCACTTTATCTCTGTTTCTCAATGCATCTATATATTTTCATAAAGACACTGCATCCAAAATTTCACTTTTACTACCCAAACCTCACTTGATCTTAGTCCTCCACCACACTAAATTCAAGCCATCCATGGGTCTGCCGCCTGCATGTGTGTCATTAATTGGGACAAGATTGTCTCCTAATCTGTTACCAGATTGACATGTCTACCTAATGGGGCTGCAAGTATAACAGGGTTTCATGGTACTTTTAGAATTCTAATTCCTATGGATCAGGCTTTTCAAATTCTGTCATTGATGTACTGATATTTGTCTTTGGAACCACTGTCCGTAGAACAAAGTAGTCATACATTTCTGGGAAGCTGGTTGTGTCAAGACTCCTGCATGAAAGGATGCTTTATAGTCAAGCTGATATGAGTAACAATTCTGATGGGGACTGGGGAGGAAGTATTTGTAGTATCCCGTGAGACCAGGTAAATACAATCAATAGTGTAGGTTTATTTGAGCATACCTACTTCATGGAGGTAAAGCTAAACACATATTTACGTTTTCTGATGTAATTTATGTCATGTTATACTAATATCTACTCACTTGGATCCAAAGATACTGTTCAAAGTACTTTTAATCTTGATGTCTGACATAATGCAGTTAATTTTCTGCGCTGTGTTATGGACAAGTTTTGGGGTCAAACATATCAAAGGCGCAGGATGGGCCAAAGGGGTGATCGGCCCGAAGGAATTCAGTCCAATGAAGCCACTGAAAGTGGCTGACTTTTTGAGCAAGTTTCTTTATTTTATTGCTTTAATTCAGTTTTAGCAAGTTTCCTAAATTCAGTATTAGCAAGTTTCCTAAATTCAGTTTTAGCAAGTTTCCTAATTCAGTTTTAGCAGGTTTACTTTATTCTCTTTAGGGGCTCTTATATGACTTATATATAGGGGTCCTCAGTGGATGTAAGAGGGGTTTTTTTTCTAGAGAATTAATTACTGTGTCTTGACAAGGTCGGGCACTGAATTGATTCCAATAAAGTCTTTTATTTTCGTTTTCTCTCTGCTCATCATAGATCCAAAAATTCAGTCATCTCTTTACCGGAATTCGCTTCCGTTATCTCATCCTAGACCCTGGACGAGATCGTGTACGCGTGCTCTTAACAATTTGGTATCAGCATCAGGCACGATGGGGACTGATTCTACATCAACCAATAATCTAAAAACCTACATGAAAGGAATGGATCAGCGGCAGTTTGACGTGGATGAACAACTGGCAAATCTGAAAAGTTCTGTCACGGATTTGATTGGCCTTCCCGCTGCTTTCACCAAAATCAGCAAAACTGTTGCCTCCCTCGCTGCTTCGATACAGCAGCTTCTCCATGATGACGGTGATGACTCGGTAATGTCCAACCGGCGCAGGGAGCCCAACCACCGGCAGCAGATCATAACTGATTCCATGGTTCCTCGTTTCTCCAAACTGGAATTTCCCCATTATGATGGCAAAACAGATCCATTACCATGGATTAAACGTTGTGAACGATTTTTTGACCAGCAGAAAGTTGCACCGCATGGCAGGGTTGGGTTAGAGACCTTTCATATGACTGGCACAGCACATGAAATGTGGACTGAGTTCTTTAATAAATGTTCCAAGCGCTTTGGGCCACCAAGCAGTGCTAATCCGGAGGGTGATCTGGCCAACCTTAAACAAACAACAGACTTGGAATCATACATTGAGGCGTTTCAACAATTACTTGCTCGTACCGCCGGAGTATCCATCCGCATGCAAGTCAGAATCTTCACTGCTGGTCTCCAAGAGGCAGTGCGCATGGAAGTTGAATACCAAGCTCCGATTGATCTTGACTCTGCCATGATGATTGCCCGTAGCGTTGACCGCAAGCTATGCCTATCCTTGGAGATGTTAGCCCCAACAACAAGAAACAATTCAACAGCTCGGTATGGGGGAGCGTCATCATTAGGGCTAGAGCACCCTTCCACACCTGAAACTGCCCCAGTTCGGCGCAACTATAATCCCACCTTCAAAAAAATTTCACTGGCAGAAGTTGCAATTCGCCGGGAAAAGGGATTGTGTAACAATTGTGATGACCAGTGGGTGCGCAGTCATCGTTGTAAGCGCTTATTCTTTGTGGAGATTGTTGAAGATGGCCAGCTCGAGTTAGAGATTCCTACTAGTGAACCCTCGTTATCATTGCTGGCCATGACCGGGTTCGGATCCTCCTCTACTATGCAGTTACGTGCCAGCTTACTGGACCGACCAATTACAATTTTGGTTGACTCTGGAAGCACTCACAATTTTATACACCAGCGCTTGATCTCCTCCGTCTCTCCACCATCGCCACTTGAGTCTCGCTTACATGTTCTCGTTGCCAATGGCGATCATGTCCCTATCCTCGGGTCTTGTCCGAATTTGACTTTTCACGTCAATGGACAAGAATTTGTGGCTGATTTTTATGTGTTACCCCTTGCCGGATTTGATATGATTCTTGGCGTTCATTGGCTCCGGGGTTTGGGTTCCATTCTTTGGGATTTCACTCATCTTTCCATGAGGTTCAACTGGCAAGGACGTGCAGTTGAGTGGCATGGACAAGAAGCAGCCCCAAAACTGCAGGTGTACTTGGTGACAAACTCTCAGAACGCAGACAACACTTTCAACACTCTCAATGGCTTATTGTCCCATTAATCCATTATATGGATTTGTTCTCTCTTCCATCGGGCTTACCTCCTAAGCACACCTGTGATCACCACATAACTCTTCATCCGGGAGTCGGACCGGGAGTTGTCAGGCCTTATCGCTACCCTTATTTCCAGAAAGATGAGATCGAACGCCAATGCTCTGAGATGCTGGAGCAAGGAATAATTCAACCAAGCCACTCACCCTTCTCATCCCCTGTGTTGCTAGTAAAAAACCCGATGCCTCTTGGCGCTTTTGCATTGATTACAGAGAGCTCAACTCTAAAACTGTGAAAGATAAATTCCCCATCCCAGTCATTGACGAACTGTTAGATGAACTGCACGGGGCGAAATTCTTCACCAAATTGGACCTCCGCTCCGGGTATCACCAAATTCGCATGGCTCATGAAGACATTCATAAAACAGCTTTTCGAACTCATCATGGTCACTTTGAATTTTTGGTAATGCCATTTGGTCTGACAAATGCACCATCTACATTCCAAAGTCTGATGAATGATATTTTCAGACCATACTTACGTAAGCTCGTGTTGGTTTTTTCGATGACATCTTAGTTTATAGCAAATCTTGGGTTGAACATGTTCACCATGTTCGTCTCGTCCTAGATGTGCTATGTCATAATGACTTATTTCTTAAACAATCCAAGTGCAGCTTCAGCACTGTCCAGGTTCATTGCCTAGGTCATGTAATCCATAGTGAAGGGGTTGAGGTTGATAAAACTAAGATTCAGGCAGTAATGGACTGTCCCACTCCTGGCTCAATCACAGCCTTGCGCGGGTTCTTAGGCCTTGCTGGTTACTACCGCAAATTTATCCAAAGATACGGAGAGATTGCAGGGCCCTTGACACAACTGTTGAAGAAGAACTCCTTTGTTTGGACAGAAAATGCAGCACAAGCCTTCCACCAGTTAAAACTTTGCCTCTCAACATCGCCAGTGCTACAATTGCCGAATTTTCATTAAGACTTTGAGGTCGAGTGTGATGCGTTAGGTACTGGTTTTGGCACGGTGTTGCAGCAGGATGGACATCCCATCGCTTACTTCAGCAGAAAGATAGCAGATCGCCACGTTAAACTCCCAGCCTATGAATGGGAACTCATTGGATTGGCTAAAGCAGTCACACATTGGCGTCCTTATCTGTGGGGCCGTGCATTTGTCATCCGAACGGATCATTCCAGCCTCAAACATTTATTGGATCAACGCATTAGCACTTCCCCACAACAACACTGGTTGAGCAAATTGATGGGGTTCACCTTTCGCGTAGAATACAAGCCCGACTGATTTAATGTTGCAGCTGATGCACTATCCCGCTGCGATGAAGGATAGATTTCTTTGACAGCTCTGACAGTTCCATTAAATTCCTTACTAAGCGCAATCCGGGCTGAACAGGCGGGCTCCCCCGTGATTTCTGAAATTCGATCCCAAATCACAGCGGGTAACCACACAAACGATTGGACATTGATTGACCGGCTAGTTTATTTCAAGTCTAAACTATATCTACTGGATTCCTTCGACATTATCTTGACCCTCCTTTCAGTTTTCCATGGCATGGCCCATAATGGAGTGGAAAAGACATTGCAGCGTCTCCGACGGGAGTTTTACTGGCCTGGCATGAAATCCACTGGCATCTTTTATTCAGAATTGTCAGACATGTCAGCAACACAAATGGTTGAACTTGCAGCCGGCAGAGCTCCTTCAACCGCTCCCGATTCCACGACATATCTGGGCAGATATATCGATGGATTTTGTAGAAGGGCTGCCCAAGGTGAGAGGAAAGACAGTAATATTGGTGGTTGTTGATTGTCTTTCTAAAGCAGCACATTTCCTTCCATTAGCACACCCATTCACTGCCATCTCTGTTGCAGGGGTCTTTTTTGCGGAAATATTCCGCCTACATGGACTGCCAGAATCCATCGTCTCTGACCGTGATAAAATATTTGTGAGTTCTTTTTGGAAAGAACTATTTCGATTGGCTGGAACTAAATTAGCATTTTCGTCTACCTATCATCCTCAAACCGATGGGCATACCGAGGTAGTAAATCACACGTTGGGAATGTTTTTGCGATGTCTCACCAGTGACTATCCAAAAGAATGAGTTCGTTGGCTCCGCCTCCCATGGGTCGAATATTGCTATAACACCTCTTATCATACTTCGCTGGGTGATACACCCTTTCGCCTTGTTTATGGTCGGGATCCACCTAAGCTTATTTCATATATTCCTGGGACAGCGAGATTAGAGGGTGTGGAACAGGAGCTTCTTGGCCGAGATCAACTCTTAGCTAAGGCTAGAGAATGACTAGCTCAAGCACAACAGCATATGAAGCTGCAGTACGATAAAACTCATCGCAATCTGTCCTTCGAGGTAGGAGATTGGGTCTGGCTACGCATTCATCCTCATAGACAACTCTCCCAAAGTCGTGGTAACCATAAATTACTTCCAAATTTCCATGGACCATTTCAAGTTCAGTCACGAGTTGGACAAACAGCATACAAATTGCAATTACCACCTGAGAGCCGCATTCACGATGTGTTCCATGTCTCTCTTTTAAAGCCACACAAGGGAAATCCACCAGCAACCATGGGGACTCTGCCATTGCTAGTTAACCCACCTGAAGAGAGTAAGCCGCTTGCTATTATCCGCAACCGTCTGAACTCTGAATCATGGCTGCTTAGAATTCCTGGTCCAGTGGCAGGGAAAATCACTTGAAGAAGCCTCCTGGGAACCTGCAGATACATTTCAGGCTTCATATCCAGATTTTGAGCTTGAGGACAAGCTCCTAGTCGACGGGGGGAGTGATGTTATGGACAAGTCGCAGGATGGGCCAAAGGGGTGATCAGCCCGAAGGAATTCAGTCCAATTAAGCCACTGAAAGTGGCTGACTTTTTTAGCAAGTTTCTTTATTTTATTGCTTTGATTCAGTTTTAGCAAGTTTGCTAAATTCAGTTTTAGCAAGTTTCCTAAATTCAGTTTTAGCAAGTTTCCTAATTCAGTTTTAGCAGGTTTACTTTATTCTCTTTAGGGGCTCTTATATGACTTATATATAGGGGTCCTCAGTGGATGTAAGAGGGTTTTTTTTTCTGGAGAAT